GCTCGCCGACGCGCCGGTTCGTCGAGCTGCTGCTTGCCGCGCGCTTGGAGCTCTTACGCCATGCGGCGGCCGTGCACGCGCGCGCCAGCGTCGAGGCGACGGAGGCGGCGGCGGTGCGCGAGCCGATGGCGGTGGGTGCTCGCCGGGCTGCTCCTCCGCGCGCCCGGGCGCCACGGGCTGCCCCAGTGCGGAGGGCAGGGAGGGCAGTGCGGGCTTGCAGCCGTCTTTTGAGAGGCTGATGCCACAGGGGCTTCAAGGCTGGCCGTCCTCTCGTTCTCCCCTCCCCGCCCGCCCAGCGCACCCCGCCCCCCCTCCGCCCCGACCGTTTTATTTCTGCGTCGCACCGCCCCCGCCGTCCCGCCCCCCCCGAGACTTCTCCGATTTCTCGTCCCCTCTCTCCCCCCCTTTCCTCCTCCTCCTTCTCCTATTCTTCTTCCTCCTCCTCCTCTTCCTCCTACTCCTCCTCTTCCTCCTCCTCCTCCTCCTCCTCCTCTTCCTCCTTCCCCCTCCGTTTTGTGCAAGAGCCATGGCAAGCGTGCCACCTGTTAAATGGCCCCCTGGGCGTTTCCTAGACAGCCCTGCCTTGTCTGCTTCCTTCTTTGGGCGCGCTTGCTAATTAAACGTTTGGGCGCGCATGCTGCTCTCTGCTCTCGTCGCTTGCTCACGAGAAGAGTGCGCGAGAGCTGCGGGCGTCCCGCCTCAGCGTGCTTCGAGCTGAGTTGCTGCCTGGGCCCACGGAGGGTGCGTGGTCTCCCCACACGTTGCTGGCAGCATGGCAACGTGATCATCTGGCCTAAATCGGGCGGGTTCCACTGCAGGAGGAATATTCAAACATAGTAAAAACATGGTTTGGGGACGATGGTTCGAGCATTTTGGGGCACCTTTGGGTATTTTCGATTTTTCGTAGAGAATCCGTCTGTGGGGGGACAGGCCCGACCTGACTCCAGGCCCGCATCCAGCGTGCCGAGGCTGGCGGTTGGAGCGCCTTGCTCCGGGAGTGCGTGGAGGAGCAGTGCACGCGGGCGAGCGGCGTCGCGGCGGGCCTGCAGCCTGGCGGCGCCGACGGCTCAGAGCACGCGGGCGACGACGAGGCGCCCGTCGACCGGGTGGCTAGGCAGACCCCCTGCGGCGGAGGCGGGCCTCGCACGGCCGTGGCCATGCTGCACGCGGCCAACGGAGGGCTCCAGCTAGCGAGCTCGCAGAGGGCGAGGTGCGTCGTCTCGTGGACCAGGGGGGCTCCGCCCCGAGGAGCAGGAGCGCCGGCGCGCCGAGGTGCGGAGGCCCCGCGGCGAGGAGCGGCAGGCGGGCCGCCGGCAAGGGGGGCCAGGGGAGCAGCTCGCTTGTGCCGCCGCCAGGCGAGGGGGCTCAGCCCTGCTGCCGCCGAGGGCCAGCTCCACGCGCAGCGGGCGCATCGCCGAGCTCGCCAAGAGCGGGCGCGGGCTGGCAGCGCTGCGCCGGTGGGCAGCGACGTGGGGAGGAGGTGCTGCGCTCGCCATGGCCACGCGGGCGCTGCAGCAAGGTGGTGCGCGGCCCAAGTGGCCTGTGCGGGGGACGTCGGACGCGCGGGCGCTCATGGTGGACTTCGTGCGGGCTGCAGCTGGGGACAGACATATCTTCAGGCGCTCCAGTCAGCAAGCCAGGGCGATAGGCCAGACAGACGGTGCGCGCTGCTCAGCACTGACATGGCCAACGGGGACGGCCTCATCCACTGGGGCGCCTGCGTCAGGGGCGCGGCCAGGCGCAGCAGGCCCATTGCGAGGGTCGCAGCAGCGCAGTGGCAGAACGGTGACGTGAGGGCGTGACTCAGGCGAGACGCAGCTTGGAGTCAACTCTACACGACCTCGGGCGACTGGCAGGGCTCCAGACTCATGCAGGTCATGTCTGGTGCTGGGGGCGAGGAGCCGTGCCGAGGGCATGGGGGCGGGGCCCTCGGCAGCGAGAGGCGGCAAAGGCGTGTGCGGCCTGCCTCGGGTGCCAGGACGGCCCGTACGTCTTGCCGGCCACGACTGGCGCGGACTCGCACTGGCCAGAGGTGCGAGAGGCGCTCCGCGAAGGAGGAAGGGAGATTCACCAAGAGAAGTCCAAACTCTGGCCGATCGCAGCGGGCGCTTTGGGCGACGATGAGGCGGCCCTCGCCCCGGCGGAGAGGGAGCTGATCGCCGCGCCTCCGCGCTCGTGCGGCGGCGCCCCGGTGCTGGGCGCGGTTGTTTTCGGCGATGCGGAGACCGGGGCCGCCGTCGGCGCGCGGAGGGCGGTGCAGACAGAGGCGAGGGCTAAGAGGGCGCGGGACTGGCGCGGGCGCGGGCGCGCGCTTGACGCCGCGCGAAAGTCCTCCGAGACCAAGGCCCTTGCGCGTGGCCTCCCTCATCGCCAGCAGCAGCGTGGCGCACGCCGTCGACGGCGACCTCCGCACGATGCCTTTCGGGTGCTTCGAGCGCGCCGCTGCTGAGCACCCGACAGCTGAGGGTGGGGCGGTTGGGCCACGCGCGCCGCGGCGCTGCTGGCAGCGTGCGGAGGGCTGGGGATCGCAGCGGGCTGCGGCGGAGAGCAGGCCGCTGCTGCGGCGTGGGCTCCGCGGCGCAGCGCGCGCACCCGGCTGCCCGCGCTCGCAGCGCAGCAGGGGGCGCGCGCGTGGCCCGACGCACCGCGCTGACAGGCGGACCGCGCGAGGAAGTGCCTGCAGCGACGCGGCTCGGTCGAGGAGCACGGCCCCTTCCGCTTCGGAGCGGGCCAGCTGGCGGAGCGCGGGGCCAGGCCGGCGGGCCCCGGGCGCCAGCCCCGGGCAGCCTGCGCGCGCGCGCGAGAAGGCGCGCCCCGCGCGCCCAGCGCACCCGGCGCACCTGGCGCCAGACGATCTCGACGTGTGAGGAGAGAGGGTGTTGAGCCAGGTCCAGCGACGCGCTCGCGACACGAGGCGCTGGCGGCGCGCTCGCGGCGCGAGGCGCGAGGCCAGGGCATGCCTTGCAGGCGGCGCGCTCGCGGCGCGAGGCCACGGGGCACCGCGAGCTGGTCGCGCTGCAGCGGCCCAGGTGCAGCTTGCGCCCGGCGCGACGCGCCCCAGGAGAAGGAGGACTCTTTTTCTGGACGGCCCTGGCGATGGTGGCATTTGGTGGCCCTGGCAATGCGCGGTGGAAATCAGGTAAAGGACCTGAGGCATAATGTTTGGTGCATTCTGTGGGCACCAATTCGCTTCAGAAGCGCGGGGAGCGGGGCAACACCATCCCCGCGCCAGTTCTAGCTCAAGGCTCGACGTCCGAGCGAGGAAAAAAAACAACCTTCTTTTCCGGGCGCCCATCGCATGTCGCGATCGCCACGCGAGGGCGCCTCGGCGCCTTGATTGGGGGCGGAGCGCTCGCGCGTTGCCGACGCGGTGGTGCCGCAGGCGAGGCGTGGGGGGAAGCTCCCGGGGGCCGGCCCCAGCACGCGTGGCGCTGCGCAAGGCAGGGCGGCAGGCCGCGACCACGCCGGGTGCCTCATCCGGGCGCGGTGGTTAGGCCTTGCACGGGCCAGGGAGCGGCCACAGGCCCCGACTCGAGGGAGGAAAAGCCACCCCGACCGGACAGTTGGCGTTCACGAAGTGGCCCTGGGCGTGGAGTAAACAGCCCCGCCCTGTTTGATTCCTTTTCTGGGCGCGTTGACGACACGGCTTCGCGTGTCGGGGTGGTTCTTGTCGGTGTGGGTTTTCTGCCCTCTGCCGACGTGCAAGGGGGCGATCTTGAACATCCTGGCCGCGTACCCGGGGGAACTGCACCAGCGGGCGCTGGCTGGTGCAGTCCGCCCGGCGCTGGCCGTCCGAAGGCCGAGCGCGGACGCACGGGCTTGACGCCTCGGCTGGCGTCGCAGCGCGCGAGTGCGTTCAGGACGAGGTGCGGTGCTGCGACGCGTCGGTGACGGCGCTGTCCTTCGAAGAAGAAGAAGCCTCATGAACATAAACTCAGGGGGGTCCGGCGCGAATCCAGGAAATCCGCGCGGAGCGCCAACAGTTCGTGCTTATGGTCTTTGCTCTCCTTCTCATCCTGGGAGGGCTCGGGTCGGCTCCATGCAGAGAGCGCGGCGGCGCTGGAAGAGGCGGCGCTCCGGGCAGCCTGTTGCAGTGGCCCAGGAGCCTCAGCGCTCGGTGCGTGCCGGGCGGGCGGCGGCGGAGAGGTCCACGCTGGTCGCCGGTGCGGAGGGCGTCCTCCCGTCGCCGGGCTCGGAGGCCACCGGGCATGCAGCCGCGCCGCGGGTGCCCGAGCTTGCAAAACCGAGGCGGGCGATGCCCGGGAGGCGGGCGAGGCGGCCGAGGAGCGCCGCATGGGCGAGCTCGTGGAGGAGCTCACCGCCGCCGCAGAGGCGGAGGGCGGTGCGAGGGGGCCAGCAGTGGCAGGGCGTAGCGGCAGGTGAGAGCCGGCCCATGGCTGCAGTTTATGGTCAGGCTTGGCTCTCAGGGTGAGTCGTGAGGATGACGAGGATGACGAGGATGAGGATGGGGATTGTTATGGTGATGATGGTGGTGATGATGATGCTGATGATGCTGATGATGATGCTGCTGATGATGATGATGATGATGATGATAATACTGATGATGATGATGATGATGATGATGATGATGATGATGATGATGATGATGATGATGATGATGATGATGATGATGATTATGATTATGATGTTGATGATGATGATGCTGATGATGATGTTGCTGATGCTGATGCTGATGATGATGATGATGATGCTGATGCTCATGCTGATGCTGATGGTGATGATGATGGTGATGATGATGCTGATGCTGATGCTGATGCTGATGCTGATGCTGATGATGATGATGATGATGATGATGATGATGATGATGATGATGATGATGATGATGATGATGATGATGATGATACTGATGATACTGATGAGGATGATGAGTCTGACAATGGTGATGATGATGGTGATGATGGGGGTGGTGCTGACGAGGAGAGAGAGAGAGAGAGAGAGAGGGACACAAGTCGAGAGCGGGGGGGGGGGGGCCTGCCGAGGAATCGTGCCATCCTGTCGCCGGACGTGGACACCATGCTCGCCGCCGAGAACAAAGCAGGCCAGCACGGGCTCTTCCCTGGCTCCGTCCATACATTGCCCCCTCGGCAGGAGCCAGGAGGGCGGGGGGGCGGGGTATGGATGGAACAGCGGGAGTCGGAGGGAGAGGAACTCAACACACACACACACACCGTCCTTGTCCTCTCTTGGTCTTCCATATCCTCCCCTCCCATCCGGGCCGTTCTCTTCTTCTCCCTCCCCATCATCTCCCGCCTTTCTTTCTTTCTTTCTTTCTTTTTTCCTCCTCCTCCTCCTCCGCCTCCTCCTTCCTGTGCTCCTCCTTCTCATCTCCTGCTTCTGCCATGCATCATGCGATGGTCGGGCAATCGCCGCCGCCTTTTGCTGGGCCCAGGGGTGGGCCAGGCGGGTGCTACCCTAGAGATTCGGCTTGCGTCTATCCAACATTTTCCTCCCGCACGCCGCGTCGATGCGAGCCCAGAAAGTACAGGATGAGATGCGCGCAGCCCCGCAGTGCAGAGGACGTGGAAGTAGATCCGTGCGGACAGCCACCAGCAAGCAAACATCAGTGACCAGCTTTGGCTCGGCGTCCTCCCTGCTTGCCTGCTCTGCTCTCCTCGCTTTTTTACCTCCTCCCTGCCTGCCTCTTTCGGCAACCCTGCTGCCAAAAACTACTTATTATTCTTCTTCTTCTTCTTCTTCTTTTTTCGGGGGGGGGGGGGGGGGGGGGCAGCCGGTCTTCTTCCTTCTTCTTGTTATTATTCTTCTATGTTTGTTTCTTATTCTTCTTCTACTTTTTTTTTTCTTCTTCTTCCTATTCTTTTTTTTCTCGCTCGTTGGTTTGATGTCTTCGTCGCTGCTGCGCGCTCAATTCCCCCCCCCGGACCCTTCCTTCCCCTTGGGGCCGCCGCCCCCCCCCCCCCCCGGGGGCGGCCGCCGGCCACCGGCCCGTCCCCCGTCGTCGCCGTCGTGGGCCCTCCTCTGCCCCTGCCTCGCGCTCGTGCCCCTCGTGCTCCTCGCGCCCCTCGTGCCCCTCGCCCTGGCCCTCCTCGTCCTCCTCGTGCTCCTCGTGCTCCTGCCTCGTGCTCCTCGTGCCCCTCGCCCTGGCCCTGGTCTCTGCCTCGTGCTCCTCGTGCTCCTCGTGCTCCTCGTGCCCCTCGTGCCCCTCGTGCCCCTCGTGCCCTCCTCGTCCTCCTTGGCCTCCTCGCCCCTCGCCCTCGCCGCCCGCTCCTCCTGCTCCTCCTGCTCCTCCTGCTCCTCCTCCTCCTCCTCCTCCTCCTCCTCCTCGTCCCCCTCCTCCTCCTCCTCCGTAGCCATTTTGGCTCAAGATGTCTGACTGGGGGGGCTGCAAGCCTCCAGGCAGAAAGGATACCGCAAGTCCGCGGCCAGCCTCCAGATTTCCTGTGAGCTCCTGGGGGAGCGCCATCCGCTTAATCTACTTGATTGCCGCGGCGGCGCTATGGAGCTGTGCAGGATTGCGGCCAGGCGTGCCCCTTGGGCGGCGGGCAGCAATGGCGGGAGCAGGCCACCACATGGCGGTCCGGTCGGCAGCGGCTTCGTGCGCGACAAGCCCGACTGGTTCTGCTGCAAGGACGGCTGCAAGAATGCGAAGGGCGAGCGCTGGTGGAACCCTGGCTCGTCGTTGTGGTGTACAAAATGCAAGCTGCACAAGGGCGCCTGCTTCGGCAGCAACCGCCCTGCAGGTGGAGGTGCCCCCTCGACGCGCGCGCCCAGTGTGGCCGACAGTCGAGCCGAGGCGAAGTACAAGAAGTTCTACGAGGACAAGATCGCGGCGCTGGAGCAGGAGCTGCGCAGCAAGTCCTCGCAGGACGGCGACATGGAGACCGACGGCTCCGCAGTCGAGGCCCCGGCTGCAGGTGCTGCCGCGCTGCGGAAGCGCGCCGACAAGCTGGCGGCGGAGATCAAGCTGCTCAAGGGCCGCGACGATGTGGGTGGCATCTACAAGGGCGTCATCGAATCCTTCCAGACGGAGCTGGACGAGCTGCGGAAGAAACTGCACGATGCCAAGCCCGCGGACGCCAAGCTCCAGATCGCCCGTCGGGAAGTCAAGAAGAAGGAGGCCGCCCTGGCCAAGGCGGGTGACAAGCTGGCGCAGCAGGAGGAGGCCGTCGCTGCAGCGCAGCTGCGCCTGCAGGAGCTCAAGACCCAGCGGGAGCAGTGTGAGGCCGAGCTCGGCCGTGCCAAGGCCGTGGTGCACGAGCTGGTGGCTGCTGATGCTGCTCAGGCTGGCCCAGCCGCTGACGGCGGCAGCGAGACGGGGGCGGTCGCCCACACGTTCGGCATCAACAAGGCCGCGCTGGTGGCCAAGTGCGGGGAGCGCGGCTTCGGCGACCACGCGGAGGCGGTGTCCAAGCTCCTGGAGGAGTTGCTGCCGCAGCTGGTGGTGCCCGCGGAGCGCCATGCTCCCCCCCCCTGCGGGCGCGGCGAGCGCAGCAGCCGCTCAAGCCGTGCCCAGCACCGAGGACCCCATCGGCAAGGCTTCCGAGGAGGCGCTGCGCGCCGAGCTCAACGAGGTGTGGCCCGCCGACATCGCGCCCGACATGCCGACGGACCTGGAAGAGATGCGCGCTATTGCTGCTCGCCTTGCCGCTAGCCCGCTCATCGGGGCCGCAGCGCGCATGCGAGCTGGACCGTACTGACCTTGTCCCCATGACGAGCCTGGGCAAGAGCAACAGCACCGTCGCCGCGGCCGACCTGGTACAGGTGGACTCGTGGGAGGCGGAGGACGTAGCGGCCCGTCACCTCCTCGGCGAGGCGGCAGTTGCCGCAGGCAGCCGCGGCGCGGCAGCCAACATCGAGCGGGGGCTCAAGTCCCCTGGCAGGGGCACTGGGCCCCCCCTCCCACTCCAGGTCGACTGCGCCTGGGCTGCCGTGGCGCTGGAGCAGCCGCGGCCTGCGGGGCAGGCGGCCCCACGCCCGAGCGGCCTCGCAGGACGGGAGGCCCCGCGGCCGCGTGAGGAGGAGGCGGCACAGGCTGTACTGGATGGAGCTGCACCACATGCTCTTCGTGCGCCACCTGTCGTCGCCGCAGCTTCGGACGGAGCCCGAGGTGCAGAGCCAGTGCCCCGCGGATCGGTTGCTGTCAGAGCTCCTGACCAAGGGCATTCACTGTTTGGGGTCCAGGCGGGGATTGGCTATAACGACGGGGCTACGGCCCTACATGCCACCCCGGCCTCAGTGCGTGAGGAGACCCGAGCCACACTGCCCTTCGAGACACTGGGCGACGCCAGGGTGCCCGCAGGCCTGGTCTTCGTCAAGGGCCAAGTCAGGGAGCCCCACGCGGTACAGCTGAACGCACAGGCGGTATCGCAGTTCGTGGACCTGGTACCTGAGCTGATTGGCGAGATCGTGCTCTACTTCAAGCGGGTCGGCCTCCTAGCGGTGAAGGGCCACGGGTCAGACCAGCACCCCATCAAGGACGCCAACTACAGCAACGCGTTCCTGGAGGTGGGGCAGGACGGGCTGTTGGACATGCAGGTCGCGTCGGAGGAGGAGCTCCGCAGGGTGCGAGCACTCACGGCCCCCTTCCCGATTCTTCCAGCCACACTGGAGCGGCGGAGGGTTATGCCCGAGGTTGCGAATGTGCAGCAGGTAGTGGAGCCCGCAGCAGAGGGTACCGACCCTTCGGGGCACGCACTGCTCACTGCGGGCCGAGCCGCCTGGGCGGCAGAGAGTACCGACCCTTCGGGGCACGCACTGCTCACCGTCCGAGCTGCACGGCGGAGGGTGGTCAAGTCGAAGCAACCGAAGAGCGAGCACACGCTAGCCATCACGGCGAATGGCACCACATGGTCGAGCCTCACCGATCTGCTGCTGGATGAGGTGGGTCGCCGAGCGGACATCTTCCTGGGCCAGGAGACCCACTTGTGCGGCGCTGTGGCGTGCGCGACGCAGGATGACTGGGCGAAGCGGGCCAAGTGGAACCTGCAGCTGGACCCAGCAGTGCCCACAGGACGTGGAGGCACCAGCGGCGGCTTATGTATTGCAACGCAGCCGTGGCGAGGTCTGGCGAGCTACCCATGCGTGAGCACGAGGTTCGGCATCGCACGTGGCCGAGTACAGCTGAGATGTTGGAAAGGATGGCTTCCAGGAGGCGTGGTGGTGGCCAACGTCTACCTGCGCCACAGCGAGGGCATGACGGCCAGGAATAGGCTCCTGGTCAACCTCCTCGCACGAGAGCTGAAGTGGCTAGCTCGGCCCTTCATCATTGGAGGCGACTTCAACATGCACCCCACGGAGCTAGCCAAGTCAGGAATCTTCGAGGAGCTGAGGGCCGAGCCGATCTTCACCCAGGAGGCAACGCTGGGCGACTTGGCGGGGGGCTCCGTGCTGGACTACTGGGTCCTGCCGAAGGCCTTCGTGCCGAGGGTCGAGTCCTGCTTCGCGATCCACACCACCACCATCAAGGATCACCGCCCAGTTGGACTCAAGCTGAAGAACGGTGTGGTGGAGGACCTGATCACGGTCCACAAGGCCCCCGCCAGTTTCCCAGCTATGCGGCCCATCGGGCCTGGGCGGGAGGTGGCGACATCCTGGGGAGAGGCCATGACGGCCCTGGGGGAAACGGAAGGCTGTCAGGAGGCCTTGGCGAACGGCTTCGCGGCCTTCATGCAGGGAGCTGAGGAGGAGTTGGGCAGCTTGTTCCATATCCCGCAGGACGACATGCCGAAGTACACAGGGCGAGGGCTGGAGCCGCGCTTCGTCAAGATACATCCCGCGAGGCGGAACAACGCGGCGGTGGCCAAGGCATCCCCAGAGGCACGTCAAGCTCTCTGGCTGCGTGACCGTCTACGTGAGCTCCAGCGGGCTTACGAGAGGGACGAGCTGAGGCACCGTCAGGCAGCGAAACGACTCCTCGACACCCTGGAGCACTGGAATGGCTCCCTCATGAAGACTCAGGACTGGCACTACTTTGAGGCGTATTGGCAGCGGCTGCGCAAGCTCGCGATCGACGACCTGGCCAAGCTGGCGGACCAGGCCCAGAATGTGAGCGTGCGCCTCTCCAAGGAGTTCGAGAAGGCA